TTCGCTTTTTAGGACTTGAGTCTTAAACAACTAAGTAAAAAAGAAATATATTTCTATATGGACATGAAATAAAGCTGTAGAGTAAACCCATTGTCTTCCTTTCCTTTGTAAAGTTTTCTGTTTTGAGACTGGCAATAGTTTGGTCAGAAGAAGAAATTCTAATTCATGATTCTGTGGAAAAAAAAAAAAAAGGAAATATAAAGATTCTTATCCTAATTCAGTCTTCCACCACCTGCAGGGAGTCCTGTTCTTAAAAAGTACTTCACAAAAGAAGACCGTGTTTTCAAAACAAACTAGATTTTAAGAAACCTTATGTTCAAATGTAAATGAAAAAGCAGACGAGACATTTTCTAACCTTAAAGCATACTAAAAGGTTTACTTTTTCAAGAATCCCAATGTATGGCAAATTTGAATTCTATTTCATTAAACCAAGGTGTGTAACTATCTATTGTAATGAGTGAGCAAAACTGTCAGGTGCCTGTGTACTCCTGACATTCCACATCTGAGTTTTAAGGGCTATATAATATGAGGACCTCAATTGTAAAATTGCAAAAGCTTCCTCTTACATCTTTAAACTAACATACTTTGTAAAGGAGATCTTATCAGTATGGAAAATTCTAAGATTGTGTGTATTTCATAGATATGTATTTGTATTTTATCTCAAACCATTTTGTGGCTGTTGGAGAATGTATTTTTTATGGTATATTCAAACCAGAATTTTGTCATTCTGTTTTATATTTCTCTTCCAAAATACTATTTCTTCTATGTTGAATCTCTAATATATATTTATGTGCTCGTACATAAATGTAGATATATATTTGAACACACAGACACACACACACACACATACACACACATCGGCTTAAGATAACTATTTTACTTGTGCCTCTTAAAATTACAGAATTTTAAAATGGCAATATGTTCATTTAAGTTCACATCATATGTACAGTTCTTTTTTTGGTTTAGTGTTTAGAGAATTCTTGATAATTTAGACTCTTCCACAATGAAAAGTAAAGCATTCTGTCACAAAAGCAGGGAGGATGAGACACAAGGTCAAAGGGCATTTTAGAAACAAACAGCTGGACCAGTTTATTTAAACAGATAGAGGGATGGGGGAACTGACCTCAGTTTGACTTATAGTGGGAGGAGCAAGAATGTCATTTTATTACTTTGCCCAGAAGGAAAATGTTTTTGTATCTGAATTCACCCTGAAGCCATCTAAACATGGCTCTGCTGTGTGTAGCATAATTCCAAAGAGGATGTATAAAATAGTCTGGGATAATGATAAAATACACTAAAGGGAATCAAGTGTGGAGACAGTTTAAGATTGAAAAGGTGATGTTGTTTTAAAAAATAAAATATTTTGCTATTTACTTAGTTGTTTTCACATAGATGTCCATCATGACCCCAAATAATAAGTTGTTCATATAAGTGTAGTAATTGTAATTCAGTAACGTTCTGAGAAATTACTACATCCTGTGTGTACTAATGATATTTCATTATATTGAATTTTTTAAAGTAAATGTTTCACAAGAAGTTGCAGGTAGACCTACTAATGTGGTCAAACGGCTCAGAAAAGGTGATTAGGTTTTCTCAGGTTTTCAGTGTTTTTGTTTATGTTTTGTTTTTTAATTAAAGGTTTCCCCCTTTGATATCTACATATTCTAGGGGTAGCTTACATCTGTGTTCTTAATAACAACAAACAGTTCTTGCCACCAAAAAAGAAACAAATAACATCTAGTACCTGTGGGCAGTTGGCTAAGAGGCTGTGGTATTTTTTGTGTGTATTTGCTTTCTACCTGGGGATCAGAGCAGGCCTGGAATGAATGTCCTTGGTGGTGTTCACTGCAAGGCTTCAGGAGGACATAGACAAAGATCAGCCTACAGAGCAGAGAGCAGAGAGCAGAGAGCAGAGAGCAGAGAGTGACCCAGGTGTCGAATGAACTCAAGATCCTAGTAGGACTCACATTCTAGAAGGCACTTTTTTTTTTTTTTTTGAGACGGAGTCTCACTCTGTCGCCCAGGCTGGAGTGCAGTGGCGCGATCTCGGCTCACTGCAAGCTCCGCCTCCCGGGTTTACGCCATTCTCCTGCCTCAGCCTCCTGAGTAGCTGGGACCACAGGCGCCCGCCACTACGCCCGGCTAATTTTTTGTATTTTTAGTAGAGACGGGGTTTCACCGTGTTAGCCGTGATGGTCTCGATCTCCTGACCTCGTGATCCGCCCGCCTCGGCCTCCCAAAGTGCTGAGATTACAGGCGTGAGCCACCGCGCCCGGCCATAGAAGGCACTTTTTAAGAATCACTGATGTTTAACCTAAGGATTAGAGGGGAGAAGCCTATAAAGCATAATGGCTATGTTTAACTATTTGAAGGGCTATCCTATGGAAGTAAAATTAGAATTGCTTGCAGTACCCCAAGGAGTTGTACTGATGAAACTATTGGGTTGATGCAAAAGTAATTGTTGTTTTTGCCATTGAAAGTAATGGCAAGACTGCAATTACTTTTGCACCAACATAAATATTTTTGATCAAGTAAGACAGAACCTTCTAACAGCCTTGTTTATAGATGGGGTGGCCTCTCAATAAGGTGATGAGTGCTGTATTAGTTCAGCAGGGGTTACCTATGTCCTTTTGGGGGACAGATATCATACAGGAGATTCATGTCAGTGACCAAAGGAAGTGACTGTTACAGCCCTTTCCAAACCTGAGGTGTAATTTTTAAAAACGAACTCAAGACTTTAATAGTCATAGAACCTGAGTTGATTATTATGAATTAGTTTATCAGAGTCTGAACATGTGAGTATGATGGAGACAAGCTTTGGAATACAGATAAGTCAAGTCACTGTATTCTCTCTCTCTCTTTTTGAATAGCCTTATCTTTGCCTATACACACAAACAGTGCAGCCATCAAAATTTTCAATTTACAAAATGTTCACAGTCATGCTTGTTCCTTGACTAAACACTGGGGTTGCTGCCAGTGGTAATTGGCTCAAATCCAGCTAATTTTTATATATCTATTTAGTCTGGATATTCTAGATGAGTGGCGCAGTAGTTGCGGTGCTCTGGTCACCTCGCCAGAGCACCAGAGAGAAGGGTGCTCGCTACCACTGACAGCTGTGTGTCATTTAGCAAATTATTAACATCTATTTGGTAACATGTGACCTCAAAGAAGTCATCTAATTTCTCTGAGCTCAGTCTTCTCATCTGTTAAAAATGTCTCTTCCTATTTTTAGGTAAGTAGTATAAGTCATATCCATAAAAGATTATGTTTTTAAAAAGTCTGGAAAAAGAAAGTTAATAGAATTCCTTCTCTCTAAGAGTCTGCAGATTATGAACAGCACCATAGATAAAGAGATGTTTTTGCTCTCTTACCTACATTAGTTACTATGAAAATTACTTTTGGTATATGCAGAATATTAATATTAAATAATTTTCTAATTGGTCATGCAGTGAAGGCAGCTAATGAAAAAGCAGATTTTTTTTTCATTTTAATTGGTTATTTCACATGGTGTTTGTGCTACACCTGTGCTTATAATGAGAATGGAGAATTAATCTAACCTTCTGCTCACATGATTCCAATTTTCATGGTTTATACAAGATAATGATAACCTGATTTGCAACACAATTTGTTGTAGACCTGGGTTTTAAATATTTTTATTAGCAGTTCAGGAACTTCATATACAAGAACTGATATAATATGTGTTGCCAACAAGAATTAGCACGAACAGTATACCTTTTAGTTAGATTCTAGTTTCATTATTTGTTTCAATTACTTCTCAGATAATGAAAGAACACAAGGATACAGGATATTGAGAATCTTAAAATGTTATGAAGTATGCATTTTTGTTTTGAAAACCTGTCCCTGTCTGTTTAATGGTTTGGTTTTTAGGAACTATTTTCCTTTCTGAAGTGGGCAGACTTACAAACTAGAATTCATACTGGACTATGGATCCTTTAAGTATTAATAGAACCTTATTAAAATTTTCATTGTATTTTTTATGTCCTGCTCAGATTTGATCTGAGTTGGGAACTAAAAGGAATTTACTATTTCAGAATCTCATATGTCCTCTTCCTTTTCTGGATTTGATATGTAATTTTTAATATTATGCAGTACAAACGGATCTGAAGAGTTAGAATCTCATGAGTATGACTTTGGAGAGCTTATATTAACTACTTTTTTACATTTCAGTGACTTGTCCCTTTTGGAGAGGCTACAAAAATAATTGTACAAAAATATCTTATTAAGACACTTAAAGTAACTTAAGTGCCTTAATAAGATGTTTATAAATTTTCAGTACTAGCTGGAGAAAGCAAAATTATAAGTTCAATTACTGTATATCTGTGACCTTGCCTTGACCTCAGACTTTACATAAAGAGAAAAAAAAAAAAAGCCACCCCAAGAAATCTCTACAAGGAATGCATTTCTCTGAAGTCCCAAGCAGTGTGAGTTAGTGGTGATAAACTCCAGACATTCTCTCATTTGATGGTGTGCTGCCATCCCAGTTCATTATCTTAATAGTGGGCATTAAAATAGAATTAGGTTTGCAAGAGGTAGGGGCAGTTTTGATAAAAATTGTGAAAAAGAAGTCAGAGAACATAAGATTGAAATGTCACTAATTAGGAGAGGTAACAGATGCCCTTATGAGCATCTAACTCTTTACACCAATTTTCTCTCCTTGAAATTGAAAGGAGTGGTGGCTAGTATTGTTTCCTGAAAACTCTGCTAATTCCCCCATGAAAAGATGAAATGGAAGTGTCCAACTGTGGTAAAACAGGCAAACATAAATCAACTCAGAAACCCCAAGCCTGTGTACTCAAAGGTCACTGGGGGTTACAGGTTTTGCAGCACGTGAGGCTGCACATAGAGCAGTGGAGAGAACTGAAGGAGTCCCATTTTGCCAAGATCTAGTTTTACTCCAACTGCGATTCATCTTTTCCTCTTCCTCAACCCCCCGTTTTATTTTTAAGGAATAATGATTTGTTTCACTTTCTTGGTTACAGGTTTATTAATGCCCGGAGAAGAATAGTGCAGCCCATGATAGACCAGTCCAACCGAGCAGGCAAGTCCCCCATAGTGACTGTATTCAAGTCACGCAAGCGAAAACCATCCTCAAGCCATTCACCGGGAGGTCTGCTACCTGGTAAATAAACTGGGAGTGAGTACTAGGAACGCCTGGCAATTAAAATTAAACCAGTTTCGTTTCATAACAACACTAATCAATTTAACATTGTTATAAAACGTTTGGAGAAGGTGGAAAAAAAAGCCAACAGAGAAAAGTAATTCTTAAATCATATGCTCAGTTACAGTATTCTTTGTACACATTCAATA